AAACATAACGGTCACCGTTAGTGTTCATGTAAAGTTCTTCACTGTGCTTTATCTCACTATGTGTTAATTTATGCGCATTGTATTTTTACTCCAGATTTTAGGTGTGGGGCCAAATTTTGTGGGTTCCTTAAAGATTTTATGCACTTTCTTTCATGCTATGTTTTTTAATGTTACGTGCCAATTGTTTGCAGTTTTTGATTCCTATGAGTTTCATTTGTTTTTATTTTTTAAAAAAGAAGAAAACAGTGTAGCTCTCATTGCTGTAAGTTACATTTCACCTTTCAGGCATTTTAGCTTTAAGTACACCCTCAGCATGCAGCTATAAAAATTTGTTGTGTTGGAATTAAAGTCCTTTCACAAAGAAATTCACATAAGAGTAAGTCACATTTGTTCAGCTTTCAGTGATTCTTTTTTTGTCATTGTTTGTCATGTTAATAACCCAAATCACAAAGGACGCCTTTAGATTTGTCCATCACAGGCATTGATTTGTATGCGTGGTAATTACAAAAACACCACTTTTTTCTTAGTGATTCTACATTTCAATTTGACCTAATGAGGTCACCCACACCCAGTACAGCTTTCTGTATAGGTCTTACATACAGAGCTGGCATTATTCATTAACCTTTTTTAATTGTATTTTCTTGGCTAACTTGTCCTGTTAGAATGTACTACCTTCAAAAAGTAGAGCTGCAACTAAGTAATTAGTGTTTTGTTTTTAGTGTTTGTTTTGAAAACCTTGGTGGTTAAAAAAAAAAGGGTTACTACAGTTACACAATTTTCTTTTTCCATAAGACAGTTATAGGGTCTGCAACTAGTTAGCTTTATTATTAATTTAAAATGTCTTTATAACAAATAAATGAATAATAAACACTGAAAAAGATTTTATAAAATTTCCTAAAATAATAAATAAATGGTCAAATTGCTTGTAAATAATTTCTTCACATTTTAAAAGGTGCAATTAGATCGTTTCTTGCCATTTGTAAAAGAAAAAAGCCCCAAAACAAAACACAATGAAAAACTACTATTAGACTTTTAAAATCTCCAAATAATTGTCTGATTTCTTTTGACTAACCTATAAAGGTGATATTTTTGTTAGATTTTTTTTATATGACCTCTTCCCTTTGTTATTTATTCATCATTTAAATTTAAAATGGCATATTATTTAAATAATTTTGTAAAAATCTTTATTAATAAACACCCAAACACAAATAAATAAGGCATGTTAAAAAACATTTTGAAGAAAAGTGGAGCATTTAAGTAATACACATAAATAAACAGAACTAAAATAACTTCTGTACCATAAAGAGTTGCTAACTAGTCAATAAACTTGAAAATTACACAAAAAATTAATGTTACGCTGGTGTCGTATGAAAATCTGTAGAAAAAAATCACTAGTTTTTACTTAAACAATATGTGTTTACATACTTTCATCGATTGTACAAATGGCAACTTGAAAGTTGTTCAAGAAGGTAATTTGAGAAAAGCATTCTTAAGACAACAGATAAAAAATAACTTATTCTATGATTCAGATATTAAAACATGTGCTCACCTTTTTTATTTTATTAGTGTGTTCATGTGTTCAGGTTATCAGGACAGTAAAATTTGATCTGATAACGAAGGAAATGAAAATTTAATATTTATTCAACTGCTTGACTTTATTTATCAAAAAAATTATTCATAATTCTGGAGTAATAAATTACTCTTTTCATTTTTTATGAATGATTTGTAAAACCTGAAAGAAAAATTGGGAATATGTAAAAAACATACATGCAATGAACATTTACCAAATTTTACAATTATGGTTATTGGAAAAGGCCTATTGCTCTATTTATATGTTTGTTTGTTTTTTAAATATTGTAACTGATTTGTTAAAATGTTTTGGCTGTATTTGCAAATGATTATATTTTCTTTTTGTACTATTGTTCATGTGTTTAGTCCGTTTTGTGCTTAAATATTATTTTCAATAAAAGTATTAAATTTCCCAGTTTTCATTAAGTAAAGGTTTACTCAAAACAAAACAAAAACAACATCTAAGGTACAGAGTATTTGCCAAAGGAAACACTATTAAATATAAACATGTACTTGTATAAGATTATAATAACTGACAAGAAGCACTTCTAATATATATTTTTAAGAAAGTAAAAGTAATAAAAATGCAAAGAAATACCAATACAGTACTTTAAAAATACATAAATAGATTTTTTTTAAATGTCAGGTATCAATTTAATGGAAATTTGCTTTATGAAATAATGCGAAAAAGAACACGTCAATGGCAGTGTTAAAACGTGGTCTGATTCTTTAGAAAGGTAAATGTTATTTATAAATCAAAGTTGTTCTTTTATTTGTATTTATTTATTTTGCGTTTCGCTGGCGTTTATTTGTCTTAAATTAGACAAATATTTCATTGAGTTTGGTCTGGATTCTTCTTCGCTGCTTTCTGTTGTCATCTGCAACTTCCGCCCAGCAGTAGCGCTAACTTCAGTCCTCCATACAGGCACCACTAAACTAAACTCTGCAGCTGTGCCGCTGTCGTTCTACAAGTTCGTGAAGGATAAAATCTCTTGAGTAAAGTAACGTTTGGAGCCTGTCATCTGCTGAGTTTACCTTAAGAGCTTATCTTATCGATTTGATCTTAGATTAGCTAACTGCTTTTTAGTTAGCATGCTGCTGCCTCAATACACCAGACAGATCCTCTTGGCTTAATTTGATTTAGTCATGACTGAATTAAGATGCCGAAAATCAGAAACTTTGGAAGGAGATAATGAAGAGGAAGAGAAACAAAAGGAGTCGGAGCTGGAGACCAAACGTAAGTTGAGCTAACTTAGCAGTTTGCTAATTGAACATGAGCTGTGTAGCTTCCAGTGGAGAAACAGTTTAATGTCAGAGCACATTTCTGTATCGATGCTGTGACAGCCAGTCTTTCTCTGCTCTAGCACCAGATGTTGAAGAGGTGAGTGGGTCAAGCGCTGCAGCGGCTGATGGCTCGCAGCAGAAAGATGAAGGTGAAGTTAAAGGCGGTCAGCATGAACAGGAAGAATCAAGCAGAGCCCAGTCATGTGTCAAAGCCAAGGGCTTATCTGCATGTAAGTCCATTTCTTACATACCAGCCCACTTCATACGCTGCTCAGTGGCGTTTAAAAAACAAACAATTTGATGGTCAGGTTCATGCTGTACATTAATGGGGACCTATTATGCTTCCATGAA